AGTTGCGTGAACATTGTAAATAAACGGGCAAAGAAGGAATGTTACGTTGCTGAAGGTACCAGGTACGAGGAACGGGGAAACGGAATGGACGAAGTAACGGAACGATCGGCTTTCCACGGCCGTGAGAAAACGATTTTCGAAGCACGCGTTGCGCGACCGTTACCAAAAACGAAAGACAATGGTACAAGATTCGTATCGAATAGACAATTTAATGTTACTCGATCGTTTGCCCCGTGAAAGCAAACCGTGAAGCGTGTAGGTAACTGAACTCTGCCTGGAATGCTTTCCGTCTCCCTACTGTCTCTTCGGAGATACTCTCTTTTCACCTATTGGACACCCAACCCCCTATTACACGCCCCCTCCAAAAAAAAAACAAAAACAAAAAAAAACAAAAAAAACCGATCAAGTTTATAAGTTAGACTCGCAACGATTTCCTATGGAATTCTCATGGTTTTCTCTGATAAATTATTTCTTCTACGAGACAATTCGTTCGAGAGTCGAAAATCTGCAAGAGAAGAAAGGATACGGAAACCTCGAGGCGATCCACAAGACGATCCTAAACGATCTCAGCCGATCGGAACAACGACGGATCAGCGAGAGAAAAAGAGTTCATTCTAGCCAGTGAAAACGTTTCCGTTTTACCCCTGACCTGAAACGCCCTAGTCATTGGGTGTAAACCGACCGCCTTTGGAACAGATACCTTTTCAAGCCCCTATTGCTAGTGTCGATTTTCGTTACGCAATTCTTCCACGTCTCCTCCCACTCGACGCTATTAGGTGCAATGCCACTAAAGTGCAACAGAACTTCTCTTATCAAATGTATTTTGTTACTATCGAACTGCTGTTTCCCCATCTTGCCGTTTACGTTACAGAGAATCCTCTCCTCCGGGGTGAAGAGGATCTTCATAAGGTCACAGGCCAAATGATCCATCGGTCGTGAGGACGCCCACGTTGAGATTATCTCCGGACTCGGCAGAAGATCGGCGTAAGGTAGCTGCTGATACGCGTAAAGCAGTGGCTTCACGTCCGAGAATCCAGTTAGGCCGGATAACCCAGATAAACCGGAAATGTCTTCAGCAGGGCTGTTCCCAGACCCTGCCACACACATCAGAGCACAGCCTGCTTTAGACACGGATCCCCCTGACGCGTGGCTGGGTTGCAGCGAGTTGCACCGAGCGATTAAGCAAAGGTTCGGCGAGGTTCGTTAATGCCGCCTTAAGGGGGCAATCGTTTCTTTCATCTTTCTTTTTCTCGATTAAAACATTTCGAGACGGTGCTTGAAATTAATTTCAAGGAAAACTGTTGATACGCAAATACGCCACTCGGATATCGGTTGCTTTCAAGATACTTTAGAAGTGAATAAATCACCCATCGATCCTTCGTACGTTGACTCTATCACTTGCAACATTGTTTTTATCAACGGAAAGTTTGTTGTGTTCCGAATGATCAAGTTTCGTTTCTTTCAACCCTTGTAGTGTTCCCATGAAGCTTCCGTAACTTTCGTAATTTCTTCAATTTCTAACGCACTCTTAACTTTAAGAAAATTCCACAAAGAAGATTGATCTTTTCAAGCGGAAAAAAAAACGATTGCCCCCTTAAACGGTTCATCGATCACGTGCGTATCATTCCATTTGCCTCCTCTGTCCCGCGTGCACGTATATTTGTCTAGATAGTACTAAAAGTTATGACTTCTCGTGGTAAACGACGCGCATGTGATACAACGACAAACGGAACGATCCAGCTACATTTTGTCTCTCGTCTAGTCGCTCGTCTAGCTCGATAAATTAACGCTGCCTTCGCCATGACCTCTGGTTCCTTCGATAGCGTTATTTTTGGTTTTACACCTCGCTGAATGCACGCGCCTTCCTCTTCTCTAGCGATTCGCTTAGCGCAACAACCAAAAGAAACGAAAGAAATACGTGCCACACCAATCGAATAAAGCAGAAGAAACGATCAAAGCTAACTCAACGACAAGCGTCCGAAAACAAAACAATACGAATGGATCGAATGTATTTGGTGCCCGCTGGCTTTAGATTCGAATCAAAATTCTCGACGTACTTTTCTTGAACGAAGTCAACGAATGCGTTGACGCTGAATAATCGTTTTGCGACAAAGGGAATGAATAGAGTTATCGGTATCAATCGTTATAAATCGATTGAAATGGGAGTGAATATTTTCGTATGTAATTTCGTTAACTGTTGATGTTTAAAGTGCTCTGCACCGATCTCTTTGGTTAGACTATCATTGAAAATAAGACGTAACAAACTGCACATAAGTATAGAGCATAAAATATAGACAAATTGCAAGAAATCAAATAAAAAATATATTCCACAAATAAAATGTTCAATGCTTAACCATAGCCCGTAATAGTGTACAAAGCAGTAGGCTAATTTTCTATGCACTAACCTTGACTTCCGTCGATTTGACCCGTGTCTAGTCTTTCCACTGGATCTTTATCCGTCGCGGATTGCTTCTGAAGGTCGTCCACCACTGCCTCCAATGGTTCTATCTGAAAAATGATCGCGTCAATTTAAATTCGTTGCATCATTTCTGGTACTATGGATAGAACAAACTCTACTAACCTTCATTTCCAACCCATGGTAAAGGGGGTTCTGTAAAGTCTTCTGAAGCGGGCAATCACCTTCCTTCCCACTTTGTTCACTCGTCGTTGACTCATCCGTGCTGTCCAACTGCGATACTTTAGGTGCCAGCACAGTTTCAAGGATGGAATTATTCTGATGTTTATTAAGCTTTTGCTTCTTTTTTGGTGCCTCCTCCTTAGGAGTCTTAGCTTCTTCTTCCACTGCCTGCTCTAATTCTGCCAGTCTTTTATAAGATTCCTTTGCAAATATATCTCCTCCAGACAATCCACGAATTTGCAATGTCTCCGCTGCCTTCAACAGAGCCGGCAAGTTTTTCTGTTCAATATTTACTTCACCTTTGTATATAAATATAAGTAAGGCTTCTAGTTCGCTGAAGTGTACGTCTTGCAGTATTATAACTGGATGCTGGCACGGATTTGTCTACAACAGATAATTATTAACAGAAATTATGGATTAAATAAATGAAGTACACTTTAAACTTCTGTAACATCAAACAACACAGGTGTCGGTGCACACGAATGTTAGTGACACATAAGTTTGACCAAAGCTTGTGTCAGTGAAACAATGTCAATGAAAACATTATCGATGAAACATTTCACGATGATTTAAAACAGAATGTTGATGGCCTTGTTGAATATACAACTCGAAATAACTAACCTCAAGCATCATACTTGATCGAATGGTATGACAATGAATACGCATAGAAACGGAGCAACTATCCAAATGTGAACGCAATTCGCGAAGGTAAAGTCAAAGATACGAAGAACTAACCTGGAAAACCTTTTTGAAGAATGGGCTGCTGGCTGAGAGTATCACTTTGTGTGCGGTGAGACATTGTCCGTCACTTGCCAATGTAACGTCAACTAGACCTTCTTCTTCCCAAAGGCTCTCGAAGCTTGTCGCGATGTTGTTCAAGAAACTGTTCCATTTTAGACATATTTGACTTGACATCTCGCAGACGGAAAGCGTCGAATCTGTCAAAGTCTTGTCACCGTGATCGCGAACGTAACGTCTTCGGCCCGTTCCCGCGTCGATACACTTGCAACTGGACGATGCTGGACGACGATGATTAAAACTTAACGACGGCAACAATAACGTCGTCGATAACGACAACGGGGATAACAACGACAACGACACTGAGAACGACGACGATGACAACGATCACGATGTAACAGCAGCCGTGCCAGGCACGCACAAACATCCTTGGCGCTGGGTTGGGAATACATACTCAATATGGCGGCTCGTTAAATTGCGCGCGTACCTTACAAGCGTTCGTCGATATACCGCGCGATAAATTTTTCTTTATACGCTTGCTTCTCGAATAATTTGACCGAGAATCACGATCGAACGAAAATAAAAACAATTTTCTGTACGCCCGAAGTAAAAACACTCGTATAAAGAGATTCCTCTACGTTTTCCATTTATTTATTCGAGTTAAATTTTGCCCTCCCTTTTAGAATTTTTCCCTCCTTTTTCTCGTGTCTAACGTTAGCAATTAAAAAGGAGCGCCACATTCGCTGAAGCCCGCAATATATTTGAAAAATCGGGAACGATCTGCGAATACGTAGAATTGTATCCTCGGTACGATAATTCGTAAAATAATATCAAACAATTTAAGGAATTCGTGACGACAATTCTGAGAAAGTATCATTCCAAGAATGATAACTTCGGTAATTTTGCGCGCATCGATATAAAATTCACGGGACATATTTTCAAAAATGCGTGCTTTCAGAAAGTTTAACTTAAAAATCGATCTTTTTTAACAATCCCAATGGAAATTTTACCTTAATGCAGCAAATGAGCACGCGTTGCATGCGTGCACCAAGTGTACAGGTGTGCACGGCTGTCGATTCTTGCGTGCGTAACTACTTACATGCGTGCGTGCATTCTCGCGTGTTTGCAGGCTTGCGTGAGTTCGTATCCCGTAACAGTGTTCCGTAATCGTTAAGGCTCTACCTTCACGTTTCCAACGTGTGCACACCGGAGTAGACGAGGGAAATGTTGCTGTGTCTGTGAAAAACACCAGATAAAACATTAATCTAAAACAATTATATACAATGTTACAGATGCACGATGTTCACGCTATGCAATTGTAAAACGTGATAAGTATTTTAATAAGATGATACGCGATTTAAAGAAACCTACAAACATAAATAAACATACGACGACTCTTCGAGCGATCCTTTCCTAATTAACTACCGCTAATTACAAATTAAAACGTGTGTTTCACCGACGAGTATCTAATCTAGTTTCTGTACATTGGAAAACATTTCGAGGGCACCTTGGGTTACCTGACCGTGGCGTATCGAAACCCATAGTATACGAGGAACCGATACAAGGTATAAACATCGTTGTAGATAATGTTTACTTAAACTTGTTTCCGAGAAGCCAGTCGCTTCTGAGATACTTTCATTGTTGAAAGAATTGGACCCTCCTGTTAAAGGATTTCTCTGGTGTAGTTCAAAACAAGCTCGTTATTCTCCATACTCAGTCGTAAAGGCTTTTGAAATGCGAGGGGCACGGTATTAAAGGACACTGAACAGACCTAAATAGTAGGTACACGGTATCCCTTTGTCTTGAGCACAGTTATCCGAGTTTACGTTAACGATAGAAATTATTCGCAGCGAATAACATGTATGTTGAAAAAGAGACGTGTATTTCTGATATAGTAGCGTAGATTTGTACGCTGTCTTTTGTTATTACCATTGAACTCAAATGACAATTGTAACATCATCGCGCGAAGCATAAAATCTTCCTGGCGATAAGTGAACAGACATGGGCATAACTTTATAGTCACGTGAAAAGCGCGCAACATCGTTTGACATTGGATAAAGAATACAAGAAAAATTCTGCAAATTTACCTAGAGTGAGTCGTTGTTTTAAAAGCCGAATCGACCTCGGTCTAATCAACCTGTCTAATAATAAACGGACAAGGTATCGAGGGAAGCGAATTGACCTGAAAGCGAAGAAGTACAAAACATTACGGTCAAGACTCGTCAGAAGGGATAATCACCCCTGGATCCTTTGAGCCTCGACATTATATTTCCGCTGCCCCCTTCCATGGCGATCGACCAATCAGAAAACGGGATACCGGGTGTTCGAGCCCCTTACAAATAACGCAAATGTTCCAGTTCATTTGCGATTCCTCAGGTGTACCGTGCACCAGTGTCGGGAACAGAAATTCGAATCGATCGTTTTCCTCTCGGTAGTGACGCGGCGATAACAAGAGTAAAGTGTCAGCAATCATGCCGAAAGAAAATAAAAGCACGAACAGAAGGAACAGACGTCAGTGCCCCGAAGTCGATAACGTAAGTACTTTCATCTTTTATCAAAGAAGAAGCATGAACTGGCAGTGCGAATGATTCGCACGAATTTGAAAGATCGTATACCCGAGTCGAAAGACGTCTGTTTCACAATAAAGTAGACGATTGCATTCGATCATGCAATAGGTAATTACCAAACAAGTGAATCAAAGGAAACTCCGGCAATTATGTATTTATCGTTCGATGGCAGTGAACGGTAGCAACATCTGGTGCACGGTAACGTCATCCGATAGATAAATCAACGCTTCTTATGTTTTGAATTATCTGCCTTTTAATAATATTTACGTAACGATAATAAATTCTTTTGGTACGCGAAGAAACGTTCTTACTTTTGACAAGTTTATCGTCGCGGCAACGATCGAACGAAATTCGCCCATTGTATTTCATCAGGCAGCCGATTTGTTACACGTATATACGCTTTAATAATGAATAACGTATAGTTTCGCGCCCGAGCACGCCGGTGTATCATCTGCAACAGCTTCGATCGTCTCCGAGAATTTTTGCATGCTGCTTGCGTCGGTTGAGCACATCGCGCTTACATGCATAGTCACCGTTACAACATCGCTCAAGGGATACAAACGGAAACAAAATCGTTATACATAAATCACTCGACAAGAGTAGGTATTTTTGTAATTTCGTTCTCTGAATATTATTTGCTGTTTCTTCTCGTGTGACAGTCTCGAAACACTTGCGACACGTTTCGATTGTTTGTTTCGTGTAATTGTCAGAAAAGCAAAAATGATAATTACATTCCCATATTTGTAACTTTCCTACAGGTGACTCAAAACTAAGAATCGAAACGTAATACAGAGTAGGTGTAGAGTACACGTACAAGTCTCTCTACTAATATTTAATTATGTCAGAGGTGAAAAATGTGTTTTTAGAAGTTCTGTTTATTCGTCTGTCCGTCCACCATAACACGAGAGCTGATGTACGCATTTCGATAAAATTGTGAACACGCGCAGACATGTTTTCAACTCGGAAAATAGGCTACTCATTTTACAATAAAAATCTCGAAGAAATGTTATTGATATTTACTCGCTTCGATTATCGCTATACACAAGTGTAGTGACTACTTTCTACTGTAGAATAAAATGTAGGGACTCAATTTTACAGACATTTTTAATATTCCTAGCTGATAAATAATAAAATATATATTTCTGTGTGTTCGACAGGAAGCTTCAGCGTCGAACGAACGTGGATCGGTGAAATCCGTGATCGGAAGCAAGCGCTACACCCCTTTTGCTCGAGAATCTATAAAAAGAGACTCAAGAACAGAGAAGCAAATCGTGACTATGCCGTCGGCCGAGGTTATTGAAACGATAAGCAGTGGAATCATAGGAAGCGGAATTAAGTACATCATGTTTCCGCTCCATCTTTTGCGTTTCTGCATATTTGGGACAAGTTCCGGATCCGTGGAATCCGAGAAAAGCAGAGAACCAGGACTATCGACCTCGGACAACAAGAAAGTTGAATCGCAAGAAGACGAGAAGTTGAAGAAAAGGGAGGAAAGAAGCACGAAGGAACGCGAAGAAAGTAGCACGAAGAGACGTGAGGAAAGAAGCACGAAGGACCATGAAGAAAGAAACACGAGGTCGCGAGAAGAAAAAGACGCAAAGAAGTCAGAGAAAAATATCACCGAAGAACTAGATGAAAGAAACACGAAGGACGTCGAGAAGTCGGAAGACTATTCCTCCGAGCAACTTCGAAAGAGTTCCAAACGTAGTTCTCATCCGGAAACCAAGGTGGTACCATGCTGCAAAGAGAGTTCGAAGAAGCCAGAGTATAAAAGCGACGAGGACTCCGACGAGATGGTCACCGCTGAGGAGGATTCGGATTCCTCCTTGGAACACTGGAGCAATGCGACCAGCACGATGATGAACATGTCCTTGGACTACGATAACATCGATAGATCCGTGTCGTACTTGGAGGAACCGATGGACATATCGATGGAAGAACAGACTTACGAGAAATCGTATATCGCGTCAAAGACTGCGAACTTCCAAGCCAGCGCCCTTGGAAATCAGCCTTCGAGATTATACCCCGAAGACCACAGCAGCAGTTCCTCCGTGGACGAGGAAATCGCGATGATCTTCCAGAAGCAGTGCACTTCCTCCGACGATGAAATTTCCCGCGATCGCGGTAAGACTTCCACCATTCACAAACGCGAAAGGATTAAACAAAGTAACTTCTTAATAACCCGGTCGAGAAAGGAGCAGCAAGACAACGATAGAGAACGGTCGAAGAAAACGTCCAGCGACGTTGTCGTTCACCATAAAAGGAGGAAAGTGACGCACGACGAAGATAGAACCGAGAGGCAACACGATCGCAGAGCCGAGACGAAAACGCGCGAAGAGAAACGTGGCTCGCGACATGATACCCCGAGTAAATATAAGACGCGATCCTCGAAGACGCCGGTTAAAAGTCAAGAATCGAAACGAAAGGATACTCGTTACAAGGAAACGGCCACGCAAACGGACAGCGCTTTTTCGGACGAGGATGTCGAAATGATTCCAGTAGACGCCAAACTGACTGACAAACATTTTTGCTGCAAATATGCCGTCCGTAGATCACTGTCCAATCTTTTACAGGTGGGTTGGTTTGAGGACTATGTAATACAAATGATCTAGGCATCTGTCGATCTCTGAGAGATCCTCGTTCGGAGAATATGTATCATACCAATGTTTTATTTTTCTGTTCAGGACAAGATGGAGCAGGAGTTAAACTATATAGCAGACAACGAAGATTCGGTCGACGGATTTACAAGGATCTCTCGTAAACGGATTTCATCTTGCAGTACGTCCTCCTCTTCGACGGATCTTGGTTTCGATGAACGTGTATCCGCGACTCCGGATACGGACACTGCGACAGGACGATGGCCCGCGATCACGGACAATGCTTTTAAGACATGCAGGCCTCCGCCAGGTTTTCCACAAGTGCCTCAGAATCCACCCTTAATATCCTCTACCTACGATCCCAAGCAGTTCGCAGCGGGGATAACCGCGATAATGGTACCGCGAGCTCCTTCGCCTATGAGACACCTCTATTACGACTATCCTGAATTCATGGACCTTCCTGAGAACGTCAATTCCTCGAACATTTTAAAAAATATTTTGAGAAATAATTATTACCGGTGACGATATCGACGAAGACGAAAAAAATACATATATATGCGTGACCATAAACTAGCGAATAAATCGCATAGAATGTGCAATAAATAAAGAGCCGGTGTTGAAAAATCAATAATTCGATACGCTTCCTTTCCTAACCTCTTTCCATTTCACATATGACGATATCAATTATGATTTCAAATTTATTTATTAGAAATATATACAACATACAAAGTGACAGTTTTAACAACTGACGTGTATTCTTACCATTATAGTATCTTATGGCGTAGGCATAAATGATAGATTCATCGGCGATAACTGATTCCCCGGGGTAGCATCTGTTCTTTCTCCTCTATCGATGATAGGATCTGTTTCATTCATATCCTCAACCTGTAATGAACGTTGAATACAGTATTTGCTAATTTCTTCTACTTTGTAGATACCGCAAATGTTCTTCACTTACCACCATCGACGTTTCCTCTACTTTCACTCTCTTTTGGGCGATAGTTCGTAGCAGCGCTTTAGCTTCTTCTTTCGTTTCATCAAATTGCAAACACTTTTGCGCGTAATGATTCGCTTGATCCAGCTGATCTCGTTTTAAATGATACTGCGTTAGGTACTTGTACGCGTGACTTAAATCGGTCCTATCCGCGTTTCTAAACTCATCCATCACGAAATCGGTATAAGCTGCAGCCGCGCTGTCGTGCTCGCCCAATTTTTCATATAACCTGTAAGAAAACAAACTGAAACTTATTTCCGAGAATAGGCAATACGTCTTAAGCGTTACAGAACTTGAACACGTACGTAGCTAATTTTAACAATGCCATCCCTTCGATGTCACCGACGCTACATGCTTTGTAATAACATTTGAGAGCGTCTTGTATTTTGTCTTGTTTTTCATATGCTTCTCCTAAAGCTAGAACCATTCTACTGTCGTGTGGTCTCAAAAGCTGAGCCTGTTTATAATAATAAATCGCATAGAATGGCATTTTCAAAATTTCATACGTTTGACCCAAACCATACCATGCTCTATAATCTCGCCTATTCACTTCTATATATAAAAAAAAAAATTTTCAGGTATGCGAATACTCGTATTTAATTATATGCATATATGCGACGCGTACCAATAGCTTGTCGATAACTATGAATAGCACCATTGGTGTTTTTCATCTCCATAAATTCATGACCAAGTAACGTCCAGGCTGAAAGATACTGTGGATTCATTTTCAGTGCCCTGTGAAAATACATCACTGCCTTTTGATGATCTCCTCTTAAACTGTAGTAATTTCCTAGAGAATATTAATTCTACCGGATAGAAAAATAATGGGCCATTAATTTCTACAGTTAGAAGTGTAACAAACTCACCTACTATACAACATGTTTCTAATCTATATTTATCTATTTCTGTTGCTCTGTGAGCCAAGTTTGCTAGTTCAACTCTCATTTCTTTTACGTAAAGCAAATTAGAATACGTATCCATGTTATCCAAACAATAGGGATCTTCTTTAATTATTCTTTTAAATGTCTCTATAGCATTGTCAACATCTGAAACAAGAAGATCATGGATTAATATACATGAGAGATAAGAATACTATTTATAATACTAAGTAATTTAACTTGCCCCTCCTATAGTGTACTGCAATTGCAGTTTGAGCACGTACATAACCATTTTTTTCGAAGCCCATTGATTGTAAGTCACAATACAAAGCTAAACCTTCGTCGATTAACTGTAACTCCAAATACATGTGAGCTACAAAGAAGTGCTTCATCCAATGATTCGGCAAGCATAGGTTTTCCAATTTTTCTTTATCTGTTACCAAAGAAGCTAATTCTAACCAAGATCCCCAATGCATAGGTTGCTTGTGAGTTGCTTCAACCAATACATCCATAGCTTCATGACCAAGTTGTAACTTCTTCAAGGTGACCCCAAACAAATATAAACCAAAACCATCAAGCTTATCAGCCAAATGGTCTTTCCTCAAATCGGAACACAATAATTTCAGACTATTGTTTTTTAAAGGGTCTGGAGGTACTACCGTCGTGTCATATATCTTCTTTGTCTCTCCAGACAAATACCGAGAATACAAGTGTAGAAACCTAACTTTCGGAGTTTTACAGCCCTCCGTAAAATAAGCTGCCCTATCGTACTCTTTCGAGTCGAAATAGGATTTCGCCAAAATGTACGTATCTTCTTCGTCGCTAACCTCCGGCAATTGTATATCGGCGGTAATATCGTGATTATATAGTTTAACATCTCTCAAAGAATAACTTAATTCTGCTAACCACTTTGTGGTATGCAATAATCCACGCTGAGAACATTCGTTTATCGCGCGCAAAAGGTCAGTCTTAACCTCTTTAATGTCAAACTTCATAGATTCCTCCATATCGTGCAAATAAATTACATCAACGTTTCGTTTAATTGTAGAACTTGCTACATTTAATTAAATACTAATCCAACGCATTTCAAAAAAGTAGTTGCATCATTTTATGGATTAAATACACACATGAAAACATTTTTTGCCGCCATCTACAATGTGCAATCACACATACTTGGATTGATGGCGTTTCATGGACCAAGAAATTGTGTTATTGCCATCCCGCGGTCAAAAGAACGAACTAATTTTGGAACGCCCAAGTTCTTAGTATTATTAACAATAATTTGTGATCTATAATCACTACAAATATTAGAACAAGAAGAATCATGCCTGGTTATCCCAAATATATTATTTTTAAAAATATTTTATTTAGTACAATGATAATACAGATTTTAATACTAGTGGCGCTATCGGTGGGAAAACGGCCAAGTTTGCATAGAAAATAGTTCTCACTATTGCTGCTACATGGCGCCACTAACTAAAGTTCTATATTTATAGCTAAATTATAGATAAATACATTAACAATATATTAGAATCATATTAAAAGAATATATTGTAGTGTTGTAAAGCAAAGAATTGTATTAATTATGCATTTTTGGGAATAATTGATTAAAAGGTATCGCTGGCGCCACTTTATAGAAATAGTTGGAACTATTTTCACTACAAACTTGAGCGTTTTCCCATCGATGGCGCCACTTATATTAGAGTACTCTACTATTACTACTGAATTATTTCAGAGTTAGGTTCATAATTTGATCGTTTTAGTCTTTACTTCTGTATGCTATCAACATTTATTCGCGATATTCCTTTCGCATTAGAATCTAAATAAAAGGATGTACAATGTGCAAAGAAACAAGCAACAATGAGCTATTGTTTGATTTCATGGGTAATGTAATCTATTGTTCTCTCCATGCACGTTGCACGTGTAATTATTTCTGTTGCGTACGTAAGCGCGGTAATTCCGATCAACAAAATGTGTCATGAATTACGAAGTATGATTAGATTGCACACTTGTTGGCGAACGTCGCCTAGCATGATCGATAAAGCAAAATTTAAACGGAAGCAGTATAGTTAGGCGGGAATGTTTGAAACGTTACATGCTTTCAACATAAGTGTTTTATATTATTTTGTAGGGTGCTAATTCGCATGGTCAACTAGGACAAGATATACAATCGGAGGAATGCGTTCTGGCTCGCGAAACTGATTTGTCACGGTGTTCATTGCAACCAGAAAGTATCAAGAAAATAGTCGGAGGTGCTGGGCATACGTTAATTTTGGACAATCATGGTCATGTATATTCTTGCGGCTGGAATAATAAAGGACAGGCCGGTTTTCCTATAAATGAAAGCACGCTTTTGTTTCGCAAGATAGAGGGTAAACTAAATGACAATATTGTCGTGGATGTAGCATGTGGTTGGGATTGCTCAGCAGCGTTAACAATAAACGGCACCTTATTTCTATGGGGTGCCAATAACTTTGGACAATTAGGAAAATGCCCCAAGACAATTCGATGGACACACGAGCCCTTTGAGTTAGCAATCGGTCGAAAAATTAAACGGGTCTCCATTGGTTTACGGCACACTGCTTTAGTAACAGAGGACCGTAAGGTTTTAGTAGCGGGATCAGGCAACAAAGGGCAATTAGGTTTAAGCCCCTCGGAGAAGACAGAACTGTTCACTGCTGCGTACGCCTTCACGGAAAGTAAATATCTCCGAAGAAAAAAACCTTTCAAAATTTTCCCACCTCCCTGTTCCCTGTTTACCGATTGAAGAATAATTCGCGATGCTTTGTAAACAGTTCCAACACTGACGAATATACAAGACGTTGTCTGCGGTCAACACCATACGATCGCAATAACAGAAAACGGGACTCTTTTTGCTTTCGGTGACAATAAACACGGTCAACTGAGTCTGGATACCGAAACACTTCCAAGGACGTCGTTTCCGATCAAACTACCGAATGTGCGCTTTAATCCATCTGTCGAAACGCACAGCGGCTGGTCGCATATGATTGCTTTAAATGGTATTTCAATTATTCGAGTACTAACTGGGCAAGTCAGTCTCTTCAGAGATGATTATCCTGTTTGCAGATTGTCAGATCTTTTCATGGGGCCGAAACACGTACGGTCAGCTAGGTTGTGCGGGATTCGAGAGACCATCGTCATGGAAAATCGTGCGGGTCGAGGGCCTCCCAAGGATTCGACAAGTTTCGGTCGGCTCGGAACACAACGTCGTTTTAACTGGTACTTGAAATTATAAAGATAATATGAAAATAAGATATTAGGTTGTCCCGAAAGTTTCTTTCGCGAGTTGCACTCAATTATTTTATGTTGCCGTGTTTATATAAATAGACAATCTAATTTCATAGATATTCATGTTGTAATAGTAATGGAACAAAATGAATCGTGCATAATTCAGTAATGTAACATAAAACATAAAATATTGTGAATGTATTACTTATTAATAAAGCGAAAGAAACTTTTGGGACAACCTAATACATTAGGTTCCATAATGTCACAGAGGATGGAAGAATTTTCTGCTGGGGTTGGAACGAGCATGGAAACTGCGGGAACGGGCATACGAGGGACGTGAAACTTCCGGAACAGCTTTCATTTCCGTCCAACTTTTCGGCGATTCGTGTTGGAAGTGGTGCTGGTCACTCGCTTGCTGTGATTAAAAAATCTTGACTAATTTATAAGTATTATAAACGTTTGACAGAATTGTATATACGTAAATAAAATATTTTATGAATCCTATCTGTTGAAAAATATCCTAAAGAAATGACAGTTTCGTTGAAATATGCTTGAAAATGTACGAAGGCAGTTAGCCTGAACAGGGTATAGACGAAAATCGACCTCACCTGTGGTCACAGTGCACCACCTGCCAACAGTAAACTGTCAGTGGGGAGTTGCAAACGTAACGTTAAAGGCGTGCTAATATCATAAGAAAATCGCTTGTTAAACAAAAATTTGCGAAACTATATGTAGCGAAATGTTACGTTCGCGATCTCAGAGCAGTGTTTGGTAAGCATGCCCGATTTTTTATATGAATTACCGCACCGAGGATCGAGGTTCAACGTATCGTGTACGTTATTTTCGTTCTTCAGGGAGCACGAAGCGAAATTTGTACAGGATCGAATATCTAACGTGGAGAAACATTTTGCAGAATTGTGCACGACGTTTGCAGCGTATACAAGAAAAGCGGCAAGGTTTGTGCATAACAACCGCCGAAACACGCGCGCCTGTATATTGATTATTTTTTTTATATATGTATATAGTGTCACAATGTCGTATGATACGAATAATATATTCGGCTGTTTTAATGTATTAATTTTACTATTTACAGATTACGCGACAAAGGAGATGAAATCGCAAAAGCAATACAAAATTACGCTCAATCGGAGACCGTAAATAGATCGCTCACTACCGGTTTGACGAATTTCTCCGCGACCTTATCGGTAATAGGCGATTACAGGTACACGCTTCGACTTCTTAAAGGGTTACGCGACTTTTGGAACAATGAAAATTCAAATTTTTTAGAGATGCCGAAGTGCAGAGATTCGATGCGAAAATAATCGCTCCTCTGTCCCAGTACTCGGCGCTTTGCAAACATGCCAAAGACGATGTTAAAAACACGTTTACAGCTCGCGACAAAGAGTTGACGAGGAAGAGGCAGCTGGACAGGCTTAGGGAACGAAATCCTAGAAATAAACAGATGATCGTATCCTTGATTAGAAATATAAATGCTATTTTATTGATCGCATTTTACTCCTATCGTACGTTCTTAAAAATTAACACAGTCGCAAGCTGAATCCGAGCTAATGAAAGCTTCTGTTGAAGTTTCAAGAGTCGTAAAAGGCTTAGAGGAACAAATCGACTCGTTCGAGAAGCGGAAATTGCACGATCTGAAGACTGTACTTTTAGATTTTGTTGTTATCCAATTAAGTTTTCACTCAAAGACTCTCGAATTGCTAACGAAAGCTTACCAAGATATCGCTGAAGTCGACGAAGCTAAAGATCTCGAGGTGAGACGCGTAACTTCATTTGTAGATTATTCTATTTATTGTTGTAGATTAAGCGATTTAAAATTAGGATTATTTAACATTCTTCTCGTAGGACTTTCAAGTGACGAGAGGAAACATGAACGGGGTAAATTCTTATCTGATTAGTTATATTTAATTTATTAAAACGAGTATATAGTATAAAAATTTTTTGAATAATTTTAATAATTCGATTGTGTTCTCATTATTTGGATTAATATAATTAATCGTTGAATTTAGGAATTTCGCGAAATGATGCGAGTACCAGATTCCGTTGCTAGATTGCCCACCGTTGGACGAACTTCGTTCAGACAGGCATATTCTCTCACGAATTTAGCCAGTCGTTTTACATCTTCTCCTATGACTCCACAAAAATTAGGCAATCATAGTGCTGATTCCATAGTAAGTTAAATATTCTTTAAGGTCAACGCGTAACGATTAAGTGGACGTATTTGCAGGATTCTACAAAGTCCAGCTTAAAAACAAACTCTTCTGAGTCTGTACAAATTGAAGAATATGGAGACAGCTCTGAAGAAACAGAATCTGAATCTATAAAAGAAAAACCTGTGAGAACCAGGCATAAATCTATGTAATTTCAAATAATTTATGTCATTTAAATATTTAATATGGTTCTAGATTAAACGAAAAACCAACTTTGGACGGAAAGCTTCAACGCGATTTGTATTTAAAGCAGTGCCACCGATTCCCGCATATCAAAAGTCTCTAACGATGCCTATGACTATTAATTATATTTAATTTAATATTCGATATTTGGCAGTATATTGTATCTTATATTTTTATATAAGAAAAAAAAATAAAAAACGAGTTGTGTTTATGGTGTTATTGCAAAAATTGTTAGTTTATTTTCTTTTTTTGGTAATCAAAAAATGCATTTCAATATCCTACAAATATTGTTGTTATTCCATGATATTTCTTGATGTTGCAGATATCCTTATTCGAATGTCAAAGTTGATTTTACAATAAACGCAATTATTTGTCCCCTCCTTCCACTCCAGCTTGTGTCATTAAATCTGCTATATTTTTTTCAAGATCATCTATTCTGTTTCCCATTTCATCTATTGTTTATTATTAAGGAAACAATGATCTATACTCTGTTTACTGAAATAATACACTTAATACCTAATTTCCCTAAATAAACTCAATTTTTCTCATACATAAATATAATTAACATTTTACGATAGATGATATTTATATAGAAAATAAAACGTAAATATGATTGGTATTTTTGAGGTTATCCAAGGAAATGAAATTAATTTAAGAGAAAAGGATATTTCTTCCGAGAATTTGATCCGACATTGTTTGAAACTTGTCCTGCATGTTTTGCAACAATGTTTGTACCTTAAAAAAAGAAGAATAGAAACGTAAACACGAATAGTCGATTACAAACATCGAGTCACCGAATGAAATGTCATAACAATAAGTTCGACTTACGTATTGCGTCAATTCTTGCATGTTCTTTGGATCGGCACTATTACCCATTCCATAATTATCGGTATCCTCGCCTTTGTGTTCTGGTTTAATATCTGCCATTCCTAAAAATTTGTTTATTCAAACTCGTTCAAGGATCAAATGAACACCGTTCCGACGAATACTTCGGTCAAGCGCATGCGACGATTTCCAATCGACCAACGTTTTTGTTACAAAGAACGCAGACCATAAACGCATCGATTTAACAAACGTAAATTATATCTAATAGTCATCTTTCGATCAAACTTTTCTAAGACAACTCTGCGAGAACTATCACTCGACATTTCCACTTTCTCTTACACAAGTATCCATTAATCCTTGCCGTTTGAGGGGAATACAGGCTGTGAAATAACAACCCCTTCACCTTCTTCTCAGCAAGTTTCTGGATGCCGTTGATAGATGGTGTTATTTAAATTTAAAAATAATTCAATTAACAGATGAATATAAAATTATTATTATTTGATTAGTATGTACAAGATGTTTACAAATGATACACAAGGCCGTTTCTTCTTACAAAATTGATGAATTTAATAGTATTTTATAATACACTTGAAAATCATTAGAAAATTAGATTATAATGTTATTTTCATAGAGGTTTGAACATAATATCTACAGTTTCTGGTGCTGAAACATCCAGTAGATTTATTGTTCCAGGTACTCGATAATTCTGTGGAACTGAAATCATATATTTTTTTTCGCTTTTGCCATCTTTAGGTGTTAGAAACTTGCAGTATGCAATGTACCAAAAGCTCTGTACGATATTTTTTACCAATCCTGTAAAATTCAATATACTGAGAATATTTTCGATAAATTATATCACAGTTTAAATCAATCGATACTTGCCACTTGTAACAAAAATGCCTCCAACAGTGGCACACAATTTTACTAAAAATTGACATACTGTATCACGTTCTTGAGTAACTTTTATTTTAAGCGCACTCATGTCGTATTTGAAAAAAATTCCTGGAATTCCATGAGATCCTTTTTGATGATCAATAGGTCTTTCGTGATCTTTTACACTATACTGGTATGTTTTGGAAGTACTTGATAGAGTTTGTATGTCAGTAGGCACAACTTCTACAAAGTACTGATATAAAATCATATCTAAAAGAAAATTCTCTGTAAATATAGTTACTAAAATATTCACACTTGCGTTTTATATCATGTCATGTCAACTCACTATTATCTGCAATTTTTTCATCTCCTTCTAAAGGATGAACGATACCTGGACTGGGTCCTCCAAATGAAAACTTGTTTATTCTATGAGTGAAGTTGTAATCTCTACCAGTCATGAAAGCTGAAATATGTATGTGTCCTCTGGGAATGGATAATGATTTTCCAGCTGTTATGTGAAAATTTCCAGCAACTTTGTTAACATTTAAACTACCATAAATGCGACATGCATTTGGCACATAATTAGGCTGATGAGTTCTAACAATAAATAAATGCATAAGTGAATTTTTATTATAATAACAATAAACATATAAATACTGTCACTTTTTCACCTCTTTGGCATTTCACTATACAAAGGGATTTGATTAGATTTCCATAGCAGCTCATGAATGGCATGATATTCTTCTCTTAAATACGAATTCATGTGTTTTAAAGCTTCAAAGTGAGATCTCTGTTCTTGTGTTAATTCCCACCAAGTGTCTTCTTCTTCTAGTGTTTGATGACCTATCATATTTTGATTTGTAGAATCCAGAACATCTGCACCTATGCGACTACATGGCATTGCAACAGTCATATCGATATTTATTTTTAGTTTTGCATCCATATCTGTGTCTGGTTCAAATTTGAATTCTAATCTGCTATCAAGGTAGTAACTTGTTTCAGCTATTATTAAATATGCAATGGTGCATATTGTAAATATGGAGACTGCAAGTCAAAGTATAAAATCTTATACTTAGATGTGGACAAAATATTGAATTGTATAACATAAAACTTACATGTTCCTCCAACCACAGTTTTGTCAACATATGGCTCAGGAACCTTAGGAAATGCATCTAATTCTTTGACTGTTTTAATATTAACATTCCTTCTCCTTAACATGGTTGTAATTTACATATAAAGACTCACATCCAACAAGAGTATAACATTTATTTGTCACCTGTTAACCTATATCATGTATAAAAACAAATCCAAGGATACAGGTGTTTATTGTAAACTCATCTGTCAATACTCTCACCTTAATTCTATGTTAAACAATAACGGTATATACATATTAACAAATACTTTATTGTGTTAAATACGTAAAAAAATCGTTTTTATTTCGAATACGAATATATAACGTAACTGAAGATAACACGTATTCACCTGTCAATACGCGGAAGTTCAGTACAAATTTTAATCATTTTTCCTCGCGACGCGACGATTTTGAATCCGAATTCTTCGGAAATCGTCGGTAGGTTGGTTTTTGAGTTTATCTAGAGCGCCACTGTATCTATAAAAAGAATGCAAACGTCGTATTAATTGGAATTATCAAGCAAATGCTGCATTACAATGAAAATAATATCAAATACGTAATCATAACGTGATATAAAAGATCAGACAAATATTTGGAATATTAACAAGCGTAGTTAGTAGACTTTTAATTGTAATCGTAATTTTGCGATTTGAAATTTTAATCACGTTCGAAACGTTTTATTTGATCTGTTTGTAGTTCGCGGAACAATTACCTGTATGTATGTTTATCAAACTTTCAATGTACTAGTTAATTCCATCGTCGTAAGTGCGTGTTATCGCGTCAATGATTTAAAGCATTCTCCTTATCTCAAGTGAGTTTTATATTTAACATTCACTTCGAGAATTAGTGATTTTACAGTTATAAACGGTTGAACACTTATACTTTTTCTGTTGAAGATATAAATATAAACCAGTTAAGTTCAAATAATATATAAGTGATCAATTGATTGTGTGTTATGTGTAAACAAGTTTTGTTAGAAAATATTGGTCACTGATAAAGAGTATGGATATTCTACTTTTGTGCTGCTTTGATAATTCATTCATAATTTTGGTAGTATATATTGGTATATGTATTAAATTGTTCCAATAATATTGTATCTTACATTACAAATTTGTTAATTTGTTAAATATGCTATTATGGTCTATAAATAAATTCTTATGTAATGAAGAGTAGCAGAAATTGATAGATTTTAATCTTTGTTAGAATCATACATGAGTGTATATGGAGTGTTTTGATACCTGTGACTACTAAAGACAGATTGCAGTGATCAATGCACAAAGTATTGGTAAATTAAGAACTGAAGATGCCAGGAACATTGACCTACCCAATATATGCTGGGGTCGAGTCATCTCCACAAAGACAACGATCCTATAGTTGGAGTAATCAACAGCGTACCCTATCTCATGTATTGCCAACTCATAGAAGACCTGGCCGTGTATCGTTAGCAGAACCTGTGGTATGTAAATAATTGTACTACCTTGCACACATAAAACCTGTAAATATTACTTTAAAAGTAGTTCATCCTTAAAATACCATGATATATCTATGTATAAAAACGAATGAGAAGATGACTCAAGATTATCATATGCATTGTTACAATCTTCTTATCATTCTCGCAATGAAATCCTTTTGATATTAAGACAATACAAAAAGATAATCGAGAAACTGTTTAGAAAAATGCATTTCAAACCATGCGTCACTTTTTACGCTCTTTGGCCGTTGAAGTATAATTGTCAACGTTTGAAAACGTTGTTTATATCGAGAATATGATTCTCATCATTTTTATAACACCTCTCAACTTACTGCATATAGTAACGAAAGCAATCTATTTAGGAAAATTCGGAGAAATGTTCGCAGGCGCATTAGAAGTCGTCATTTCAGCGGTATATAGGATCGTTTTGTAGGCACACCTTTTTGGAAGTTTGTGTTTCTTCGTCATTGATAGAATTTTCGTGATTAGCCAGAACGTGTTTCGTAAAGTGTACGGTAGTTTTATAAAAAACGGGACGAATTTTGTGATTCGAATAGAGACCGAATATAAAGGCTGAATTTTCGTGATGTTTGAATATTTAAAAGGAAGCTGGCCATCTTTAAACGCGGTATGTCATATCCGTTTCGTTCGTGCACTAGCGGCGGAGAGGGGTTAAGACAAAATAGGTTTCTTGATGGCACATAAGAAACTGTAAGCCTCGTTAAATTGTAAGAAGCAGAAGTCGACGATTTGAAACAAATAAATTACACGTAAGGTTAATGGCAGAGGAACATGTTTACGGATACAATCCGCCGCCCGGAGTTGACGGAGAATCCGTACGTAACTATTTTGACAGTTTGACAAGTACAGGTTGGATTTTTGATTGATAGACTCCAGAAAGGGTGTTACTTACGGAAAGTTGTTGATTTTACGAATGATAATACCGCTGCGCCAACGAAAAACTTTATGATATAAACGAGAATCAAAACAGTAACTGCCCTTATAGTGTTTATTTACCCTGAAACGTAAATTATACTTCCCAATATCAATTCTTTTATATTTGTATTATACATATACATACAAAATGATTCGTGTAATGTTTTTAACAGTTTACTTTCAAACGAAATATATCGTAATAAAATAGTTAAAATAGGGTTTATCACATGAAGGGCATCAAACGAATAAAACATCATTTTGTAAATATTTAAAACTAAATAAAGCACTTGTCTAATTAATAATTTGTAAAAAGTGCCCTATCTCATTTTAAGTGTTCTGGAAATTTGTGTTTACATACATTATTTTATAACAAAGCTAAATTATCAAACAATTATTACATTCAATTGTATATATAAAATGTTAGTAATTTAGGTTCTAATTTTTTGTGGTGTCTTTAGAGAGATGAGACTACCAGTAAGCTGAGATTAAAGGTGATCGCTGGGCACCAATTAGCTAAGAAAGACATTTTTGGTGCAAGCGATCCTTATGTACGTGTTGATTTAAATACTGTAAATGGTGATCAGACAGTGGATTCTGCACTTACAAAAACTAAAAAAAAGACTTTGAATCCTGTCTGGGAGGAGGAATTTATATTTAGAGTAAGTTTATTATTAACATTTATAATAATTATTTGTGGTACTGCTAACCTTGAAATATGTTGAGGGGATATAATAGTAAGTGTATTGAAATACAAAGATACTTATCACTTACTCTTAGTATAATGTGAATCATACTTTAACAGATACAAGATTGTGACTCATGTGAACATTGGGGTTGCTTTTTGATAGATTGTATTGTGATGATTGTATAGTAATGTATCTTGAAAACTAAAAGTAAGCAAGAAATATTTTTGCTTTAAGACTTTCAGGGACATGTCCACCACAAACATATTACAAGGCCATTAAAGTCTCTGATGTCAGACCTATTCTAAATAATCACCACATTTTTTTATTTATTTATTATTTTAAATGTGATACTTGTTAAATAACTGTGGTATTCTTAAGGTTAAGCCTGTTGATCACAAATTGGTGCTACAAGTTTTTGACGAGAACAGATTGACAAGAGATGATTTTCTTGGAATGGTGGAATTAACATTAATCAATCTACCTATAGAACAAGAGGGTCAAACAATCCCTGCTAGACGCTACTTACTTCGACCACGTAGGTAAGTATTTTCTTTAATATATGCTTCAAGCTGTGTATTTTGATATATTTTGCAATTTTAATCAGTTTAGCTTTATCTTTAATATTGTTTGTCCATATCCTATAGGTTCAATGGAACAATTACATATTTTACTTTATAGTATATGAACATTTAAATGCAAGTCACAATTAAAATTGTATCGTTATTTTTATTTATTAATTTTCATTTTGTTTATTTCATGCACACTATTATGCACAATTTTCGAACAATTTTTTCATCCATCCATATTTATTGGTTGCATATCACCAATTTTAACATTTGGTTCATTAAAATGTTTCTTTCGTACTTTTCATTTGCAAATGCAAAATGAATAACTTATGAGGATATGGCTAGTAATCATTCCAGTCAGCGTTCGAGAGTAAAAGGTACTTTGGAAGTATACCACGCATACATTTCGGATACGGTGACCGTAGAGACTGACTATAGGGATGCTGCAGTTGACACAGGAGGATGGGAAATGGTACAACCAGTACATGTCAACCATCCCATGCAGACAGTTACGTGTACATTATATTTATAGTAATGTTAATAATTTTTGAGGTTGTCTGTGTTTATTCGTGTATAAACTAATATTTTATGGAAAACTGTTTGTAGGTTATGTTTGACTCGCCGTTACCACCTTTACCACCAGGATGGGAAGAAAGACAAGATGCAAATGGGCGAACGTATTACGTTAATCATATAGCACGATTCACCCAATGGGAACGACCATCGGAATCGTATGTAGTAGATATAATTGTTTTTATTTCAACAATCTCTAAATAGACGAATCACGAATCTTAGTTTGGTCGTTTTCGAAATGTATTTACAGTAATACTTCACCCAGTGGAAATGTTGAAGTTGACCGAAATTTCAGTACTGCTGCAACTGAATTTCAGCGACGTTTTCATATAAGCGCAGATAACGAAAACAGACACAGAAGTTCGATTAATCAGGTAATGTTGACCATTTTTATGTATAATTATGATTGGTATTGTAAGGCCCCAAGTAAAATAGAACTATAAATGAATTTGTTTACAGTAAACATTCTTTGGCATTAACTTTCATAGTAAAATGATTAAAAAATGTAGCGTATTTTACTTATTTGTTTATATTAATTTTTACATAGTTGGCACATATTTTATTAGCGGAATAAAATTTTTATATTTAGCGTAATATCAATTCTGTTTACATAAACATTCTAAATATTATTATATGTGGTATATGTTGCTAATTTACCATTCTTAATTCAGTCGAACGCGTAGATTACAGTGTTGAGTAGCTAGCACTCTTTGCTTTCAAATCTCCATATCATGAAAAAATATCACCTACATTTTATTGTGATGTTCATAGTCTGTGTAAACTTATGTGTGTAAATAGTCACACACACACGCACAAAACATAGGGCTTACATATTCGTTATTTCAATCTTTGCAAGCTATTATTTATATAACATAAAGTTCGATATAATTTCGGATAATATTAAAGTACGAAAAAAATGTTTTCATATAACCTAAAATTGGAACCCGCTCTACAATTATGTAAATATGTTTGTTACTGCTTACTGTGCTATATGTTCAACATTATAAAGTAATGCAAGAAGTGTATATTAAACTTATCATTAATCACCTCAAATACTCTTATGTTAGCTTAATTTTTACAGGCGCGTTATAGTTTGTATAATCATAGGCTTATGCTTCAACACGTGTTTATAATAACGTGTTAGAACATCATAACAAAATCTGCAAGAACTAACGATTAATTAATTCATTCAATCAGATGTGTATGTTTTATATAATAATAAATATGATGAATATGAATGACCCAAACATGACATGATAAATCTGTTACTAAAAGAATAATTGGCATGCAGTATGTAGCAATTTTTGTGCATGTGTGTGTAAGGATGGTGAAGTACTCCGCAAGGAAGATGAAGATTCGGAAGCAAGAGATAATGAGATTGAGAATCATAGGGGAGGGGGTATTGGGGATACTTCTTCAGACTCCGGACGTTCTGTTGATCAACATGGCTACCTTAGTGAATGCGAAGACCAGGTACTCGTACATATAGACACGATCACTTTCAGTTTTATACAATGCTTTTGTTTATAATTTTTTGTCTCATCACTCAAAATAAAAAATTTATAAAGAAAGCGCATTTACCATATGAAACACTGCTTTTTTATAATAATTTTTTCAATTAATCTATTTTACAAATTATTAACTACGAAATTTCACCATACGTTTATAAATGAAAATATGATTAAGAAGTTTGATTAATTTTTGAATACAACATTTTATAGCTTTAACAATACGTTTCTGTACTGTATACTTACCTTGTCTTACTTTTTTATTAAAAACGTTATTTTGCATGCATTTTTGCTCGGCATTCTGTTTCTTAAATTAATTCTAACAATTAGTATGTGGCATGACGTTAGTAACAAGTGTTGAAGAGATCTATAATATAATTTGACTTATTTGCAGAATAATCTAATAATATTAGATCAGCATTTGTTTGTTTTACAAATTTGTATTTATTTTGCTTGGATTTACATTTTCCTGTAAATATATATTCATATAATATTTACAGACCGATGATAACGTAGATAGTCCCGCCGGATCTAGACGATCCTCAGAACAGGTGAATACTGTTTTCAGTGCAATTCATGCTGGTGTAAACTGTAAGAGAATTTATTGCAACTACTACTATTATTTCGATACTTAGATTGAAGCCCACAAACCCACCCTTCCCCTGCCAAGCGACGAAGGATTGCCACCTGGATGGGGTATGCAAATGGCACCGAATGGTAGAGTCTTTTTTATTGATCATAACGAAAGGACAACAACATGGATCGATCCCCGAACGGGACGTCCAAGTTCGATACCTAATAACATTGCTCCTTCAACTACACCAAGAAATAATTTAGACCAACTTGGACCACTTCCTGAAGGTTGGGAAGAACGGCTTCATACAGATGGCAGAACATTTTTCATCGATCATAGTACGTTTACATTTACTTGAAATTACGCGAATTTTACGAATTGTAGGTTCGATCTTACGATACTTCTTTTTCTGATAGATACAAGAACAACTCAGTGGGAAGATCCACGCATGTCCAATCCACAAATTGCTGGCCCGGTAAGTGTGTTATTAATAGTTTGTAATTCTGAACATGTAGCTTTAATTAAAATAAATTATAATATATACAACATTATCATGTCTTTCTTACAGGCTGTACCATATTCGCGAGATTATAAGCGTAAATATGAATATCTCAAATCTCAACTGAGAAAGCCTGTAAGTATCTAATAAGAGATTAACCTTGTAAAACTTTACTATTACATTTACATGTAGTAATTATCCTGTTCTTTTTTCAGAACAATGTTCCTAATAAATTCGAAATAAAAGTTGGCCGAAATAATATTCTCGAAGATTCGTATCGTATAATTAGTTCTGTTAATAGAGTGGAAATATTAAAAACCAAATTATGGGTTGAATTTGAAGGAGAAGTCGGTTTGGATTATGGAGGTCTTGCCCGAGAATGGTTTTTCCTTCTGTCGAAAGAAATGTTCAATCCTTATTATGGATTGTTCGAGTATTCTGCCACGTAAGCGCATCGCATACTAAACTATTTGCACACTGTAATATACAATACAAATAGTAATCACAATTAAATTACTTATAGGGACAATTATACTCTACAAATCAATCCTTTCTCGGGAGTATGCAACGAAGAACATCTAAATTACTTTAAATTTATTGGGCGTATAGCGGGCATGGCTGTTTACCACGGAAAGTTATTAGATGGTAAATATTATATTTATTATGTTTCAAGTAAAAAATATTTGATATGGTACAGATATAAATAAATTATTTTTTGCAGCGTTTTTTATTCGACCATTCTATAAGATGATGTTAGGTAAATCTATCGATTTAAAGGATATGGAAAGCGTTGATTCAGAGTATTACAATTCGTTATTGTGGATTAAAGAAAATGATCCTAGCGAATTAGAACTCACATTCTGTGTAGACGAAGAAAGTTTTGGACATACCTCCCAAAGAGAGCTTAAGCCTGATGGTGCTAACATACCATTAACAGATGTGAACAAAGACGAGTACATAGGTTTAGTTATACAGTGGCGGTTTGTATCAAGAGTTCAAGAACAAATGAATGCATTTTTGGAAGGATTTAACGCTCTTATACCACCGACATTAGTGAAGATATTTGACGAACACGAATTAGAATTGCTGATGTGTGGTATTCAACATATTGACGTGAAGGACTGGAAACAGAATACGTTATACAAAGGAGATTATCATGCCAATCATCTTGTCGTCCAATGGTTTTGGCGAGTGGTACTTTCGTTTAGCAATGAAATGCGCTCTAGGCTTTTACAATTCGTTACTGGGACATCGCGGGTACCGATGAATGGTTTTAAGGAACTTTACGGTAGCAATGGACCACAGCTGTTTACAATCGAAAAATGGGGCACACCAGACAATTATCCGAGAGCTCATACTTGGTAAGTAAATAATCTCAAACTTGCATGCGTTTGAATTTAATTTTGACAAAGTACTGCCCGTTCATTCTTATTCTTTTTTTTCAAAAATATTGTGACAACCAAACAATAGAAAAAAATATATAATCATATTTGATGGTTAACGTTCCCCTTTTCCAGTTTTAATCGTATCGACCTTCCTCCTTATGAAAGTTATCAACAACTCAGGGAAAAATTGATAAAAGCAATTGAAGGTTCACAAGGTTTTGCTGGAGTGGATTAGCACGAAATACCCCTTTTCATGATGATATCTGTAATATAATGTACATATATACATACACATAGATACACAACTATGTATACTGTCTAATATGATTAACTATTTAACAGGATTAACATTTTTCTGCACTCCGAAGACTTAGGTGTCTTTCGACTGCTAGTTACATCATTGAGACAAATCAATGAAAAGTATCTTTAAACACTACTTAACTGTTATCAATAATTCAAAAAAATCTTATGCATAGTGCACTTTTAAAATTATAAGCTATATTTAACAAAATGTTTGCAAGTAATCTCAAATGCTGTTTCGAAGCAGTTGACGAATTACAATTTATTAACTTGTTCACTTTCTATTTGTAATTTCATGTTTTGACTATTACGCTTTGAAGAGGTTTTTGGGGAAAAATTTTCGTTGTCACGATAAAAAAAAAAATTAATTTGATTGTAATTGTAAATAATTTTAAGATAAAGTAATACCGTATTAATTAATATCCTACTTTGTTGATAGCGCGAAAAATGCCTTGTTACGGAAGGAATTTATGAACAGTATAAGTTCACAGATTTAAGAGATACAATTTTAAATGAAAGTAAAGCATTAAAAAAAAAGATATTAATTGCATTATATATTTGTCATAGTTTTTCAAAACGTATTGAATTTCAATTATACTCGAGCTATTTTATGAAACAAGCAAAAACAAGTAGTAATATTATCAAGAAATTCTAAAAATATAACTTGGAAAATTGTCTCATATACGATGATGCTATATAATTTTTGGAAAAAAACCAGCATATTATTAATTTAAAATTTCAACTGTACATTTTTACGTTTAAAACGAAGATCACGTAGAACTTCGCCTTTCTTTTTGTTTATATATAGCAATGTTTTATGTAGTAGTAATAAAGACTAGGAAATAGGTTATGCCAATCGAAAAAAATGTACAGACAGAAGCTGGAAGACGATTTTAAAAAGTCAATCATGCTATTAGAAGATATAACAAGAAGAATTATGATCACTGTAAAATATCTATGCAATTTTATTTTTGATCGATTTTTTTATTTATTATAAACTGCATATTATTTAATTTAAGAATATATACAAACTTAATAGAGGATAAATTATTGTTGCACGATCTATTCGCATAGCGAATTAAGAACTTTGGAGGTAGAACAGAGTTCTTCTTGTATGTTCTTCTAAAAACTTGTAGTGAAAAACCACATTATGCTTGGCTCACATTGTATATAGTATTAATTAAATAAGATAAAACAGTAGAAATGAAATTGCTTGAACAGTAAATTAAACTATTTGTACATTTTGACAATATATACAAAAAATTGAAGATATTCAATTGTTTTGTCAAAAATGATATACAATGCATGAAGTTAATTGATCGAAAATGCTGCGATTAGCGTAACCTTGTAAATGCCTACTTTGTACGATAACAGCTATTCCAAGAATGTAACAAACGTTCTAGAAAATGTTTAGCACTTAAAGCTAATGAAACATTCCATCCTGTTTGTACAGCTTATTTTATTGTAAACAGATACGTCCCGTTAGATAATAAATATTATTATTATGAGAGAAATTTGGTGGCCTTAAATTCTGGTTACTTTGAATTTTGTGTATTCCACGTTTTTCTATGATGAACATTCGAATCATGTATTTATAAATGTATACTCGTGGATGAACAATATATTCTGATGTATTGTATTTTTTGAACAGGTAACGTTATTTGAACTTTATAGTATTTCTTCTTGACAGTAAAAAGAATCTTTGGTTGGGACTCTTAGTCACTTACTTCATCTAGCAATCTACTTAATTGAATTTTTTGCTCTTATTTACAAGTATTCACATTTACTGGATGAAACGATACATCTTTCAACGAATTATATTTATTGTTCTCTTTAAGAAACTTTGCAAGATAAATTTGTTGTAACTCGGGAAAAAAGTGACTTAACTTTTTCGTAAGATTATTTAATCTCTTACATATGCGACCGATTTATCTACTTATGCGTATAGGTTGGCAAAATATGCGTGATTTAATTCAACTACGATTTACCTCCATTTAATTTTTATGTATATATATATTATGAATATAAAGCTTGTAATATATCGATTACAAGGACGAATGCATTTTTACCGCACTTGCGACAGGGAATACATAATAAAATGCTTGTAAGCTAAGTCCTTGCGATATGATTATTCACTACTAACGAAGCACGACAAAGTTTCGTGTCGTAATGGTTAAACACTAATACTACGATTAAAGAACTTAAAATTACAAATTTAAATTATGTTCTTATATAATGCTGTGGAAAATGAGACTATATACCCAAATAAATTATATCACAAACTATAATCTGTTCTGTAAACTGATGTTTTTATTACATACCTGTGCACATATTTTAATCATATGCTATACTGCCCTAGGCCTAAGAAAGGCCTTAATGTGTTCCTAGCGCCTCCCTGCATATTAATTTTTTTCCGTTTCTTTTTCAATTTTCCACGATAAATTATCTCGCTCAGACAAGATACAAACTTCTAGTCATATAAGTTAGCCGAGTAGATACAAAATGTTCAATCGTAAAATTTCCAGTTTCCATGTAATTGATCGTCTATAACTTACACGTTTGAAGGCACTAGCTAGGCACGTAACAAGGTTGATATATTTCCCTGTATTTGCCACTAATACATTAAAATCGTTTACTTTTCATTGATTGAACAAAAATGTTACGTGATAAGAATATCGCCAATCTCAGTTCGAATATTCCCGGCGAATCGAGAACGGCATGGTTCGCGGAGCCGTCGTCAGATGGCGACTGTGGCGGGCACATCCGCAGAATCAAAAAAGACAGCTGGGAAGTGTAACATCACACATCGATTCGACGGTCCTGCGAGCCCGAAAAACTTTCTGTTTTCCGCGTTTCTTGACGGCTCCCCCGCATTTCTTTGACAAGGGACCCGCGTCCTGTCGCGTTTGTTTCGTCGAGTCGCGTGTGGTGTCGTGCAGAAAGTGACCGTTCCGCGGACCGATGTGCCGACACAAAACGTGACTGTTGGTTATGCGGTGGTTCCTGTCACGAACAGCAGCCCTCGTTCAACCCCCGTTTCACGACTCTCGCATCAACGAAGGAGGGAAGCTCTGCATGATACTGGCGCGGAGGTCACTGCATTGCGGTGAGTACAACGAACGTTATCTGCTCTCGTCCTCGCGAATATCTCGCCGAGGGGATTGGTTTTTATTCGCAAACTGATACACAAACCAGCAGGGTTCATTACCCTCTCTGCGACGACCACCGTGTGCGCTCTCGCGATTCCGATGTCAGAGATTCGAGGACACAGCAGGAATACATCCTTTACTCTGCTGTTTCCTCGGATTAGTCGAATAATAATACTTCGATATTAGACTAGTGCTACCCCAATATTCAAATGTTCAGAGTTTATACGTACCGTTCGGTTACGCGTACAGTTTCTATGCTAAACGGAACGCTAGCATTTTGGAGTCGAATTTTTGGGTGAAATACAAGCGGGCGAGATTTTCGTAGGACTCGTTTCCGGTGGAGTCGTCGGAGATTTTGTGAGGGACACGAGGGTAACGTAGGGATGATCGTGCCACCGAGTTTTCGTTCATTCGACCTATTGTAGTGGTTCGTGTTCCGAAAATTCCAGTAGAGACGCTTCCTACTCGGTTAGGTTCCCTCGGTTAGAGATCGCGTGCCGCGTTTACGGTGCAATTAAATTCCGCGTTCGGTGGCGGTTCGGAGACGAGTTTTCGGACACGTACGCGTGCATAAAATATTCGCGTGCGCACGCAGAGGAACACGTAAACCTCGAGATAGCGTCGACGAATCGTCGAACACGAGCTTTTGCGAATCGCCTCAACCGATCGCGATACCCTTGTTGTCGTTTCATCCTTACAAGAAATAACGTTGGGGTTATCAACCGTATACTTTGGACCCCTACAGGCCTGCTGGCACGTTGCAATATACGTGGACATTAAGATTATTTTTTAATGCTAAATAATTCATTAAAAGATCGTATCTTGTGCTTGACGGTATTTTCAAGAGACGTAGTAGGTGTTAGGCTCGCAAGTAATATTTAATATTCGTTGACCACGAAAGAAAATTCGTACGTAAGAGTTTTTGATCTTAACACTCGAGTACGCCTTTTCTTGTGTCTATCGAAATGTTAAACAGAACTTTGTGAATGCGTTCACTCTATTATTTGTTGTTTGTTATTATTGGTTAATTAAATCTGATAACAGCTTTGACTGCCGTTAACTCGTTAATAACCATCAGTAGTTGATACGATTCGAAACTTATATTTAAGAAAAATAAAAAACAATTTTAACGTAGTATTGGTTACCATTAGAACCGATTCATAAACGAAGCAAAAAGACGATTAATCGACTGCCGGTCGGTAAGCATCGACAAGAAGCCTATTAATAGGCTATCAGTCGGTAAGCTTTGGCGTCAAAAAGTCTACTAATTGACTACAGTCGGTAACGTGTCAAGTGACATTTTTAGACGTAACAACAAATGAATTGTTTTGGCAGTGCATTCTTTAATAATTCGTGAGGACAAGTACGATTGGGAACGCGTAAACTTTTCGTTCCTTTTGACAATAATTCTCATTTATTAATTACCAAAGTCACATGTCTCCAAGTGATTTCCGTTTGTTTTCCCATCAGTTATCGACATTAACAAACGGAAGAAATTAGAACTAAATACAATCCGGCAGGTAGTTAGAAAGATGGTGTAACTAAGAGCATTTAAGATATCTTAATCTCGAAGTTTGACATATTTCACATATACAACTTATTTATTTGATCGAATACGTGGCTGAGTTTATCGAAAACTGAATATCCTCTCTCACTAAACCTTTACCAGGCAATTTTACACATAGGGTATCGAGAAATATTAGATATTTTTCTTGTTACCGACTGCTGTTCGTGTTCAAGGGATAATAACTGCCCTTAGCAGTGTGGATGTTTATCACCGTTTTTAAACAAACTGAAAAATATGGCAAACACGTGCCTGTTGACTTCCTCTGTTCGTAAACATGTTTTTCAGGAAAAAGATTAAATAAACTTTTCAAAATTGTCCCGAGGGGGTTAACGCTCGAATAATAGTTTTCATTCGTCGATTATGATCCGATACAAAAGAACTCGTAAAAATCGGCGTGTTAACGATGTTCCTTGTTAACCAATCCAAGGGAGGGACAAACATTACGCGTTCTAATAATGGCGAGAGCCCGACGCGAGAAACACCAGTGAAGAACAGCTACCAATCGTGAAATCGAATCTACCTTCGGTAATGTCATCAGCGTTATGTTTGCGTAACGTGGCCGTAAACAATAAAGGCTGGTAGAAAATAGAGTCCGCGTGCGAGCCCAAGGTACAACGAGGTGCGTCGAACCCCCTTCGTGTGCCAAGGATAATTCGTAATCGATCCGCGGGATTCGAAGGTAAATCCCTGGCTATTGTCGTCTCAACGTGTATACGATACGACACGGAATAAACTCGACCATCCCAGCTTTGAAAAATGTATAAATTCGTAGCTATTCGTGACCTATGCTAGCGATACGATACGACCTCGATTAATCGGTATAAATCGAGCCACGGGGTGCAGATGTTTAAAGCTGTATTCGTTGAAGAATTTTGATAAAAATTTAATAGAAGAAAAACTGGATTATTGCGCGAAGATCGTGTTCGTTGCTTGGTAGGTTTGGGGGTGTACCGTGTAGATGTAGAGCTACCGAATTGGTTACCTTGATTATTGCAGGAGCTTTCAGCTCCGATTTCCTGCAATAATCGAGGTTATACCCCGTACACGTAGACAGGGTTGAGTCACGCAATTGAGCCGGCTTGTAACTGTTTCTCGAGCGAAGACTTTACAGTGGAGTACTGACCTCTCTATTATCCTCTCTATTCGAGCCTTTAATACTTCACAATGTGTAGTTGGAAGGAAACGCTGAAATCTTAATCGTTCCCGCAGTTACACGGATTCGACTCTAACCGTGCAAGTATTTCTAGCCTGGAAGGTCATCCGAATGAAACACGACACACTTTGCAATAAAAATACCGTATTAAACGTTATTAGTAGACTTCTACGATTTCGATACATTCCGTACGAAAAGTATCCAGGGACCATAAAGGGGTCGAAGGCTCTCCAAGTTCGTCGCAAATATTTGCAAAAGGAGCCTTCGAGGATGGTTAGATGGGATGAAAAACGTGGAATCGAATATTAGTCGGGGGTTCTACACTTTTCCGTGGCGTATTACTCGACCGATCGAGTACTTGGCCCGATTCCATTCAACGTTCTCCACTGCTCGGCTCGAATTTCGAGTACTCGGACAGCTGTATGGGCAGCACGTCGATTACCGACTTCTTGGGATTCTGTCAGCTATTATAACTGTTCTCCCGTGTAACGCTAATGCCGGCTACGTGCTCGGCTCGTACAAAAGCGTCGTCTACTCCCGTGCATCGGGGCGCAAGCTGACACGGGCGCTGTCGTTAACCGCCGATTGTTCTCCTCGGAACCTCCGGAATATTTATCAAACCGCCACTACGGGAACAATCGTAACCCTGCGGCAGCTAGCATCTTTAGTAATGGGACTCCGCGATGCAGGACCGTATTGATTTCGGCCGTAAGACACGCGGTGCGAGCCGTTTTCAACCGGTACCGATAGAGATTAATGGAAAGACGCGTGCACTCGCTTCTACACCATCCGTCGATCGACATCTCGATCATTCCCCACGATTGCAATGAAACGTACGAGCTCTTGTATCAGGCTTGTCGCAGCAATTTTTGCTAGAATCCGCGCTTCACGCTAACAGAAATCGATCCATCTTCGAAAGGGGAATAATTTGATTCTACCCTAAAGAGCCCGACGAAAGCTTTCATTTATGCAGCCAATACTTAACGGGCTAATACTTCTGTCTCCCTTCTTAATTGCATCATCCCTCTAATACGTGTTTCTCTCCAAACATTTTCATATTCGCCGTTTTCCGTAAGAGCTTATTTCCTCCTTAAAGAGGGTGTTTCACCACTCAACTAGCCCGAGACGCGGAGAAATTATTAAACTAGAAGTTTCTTTATCGTCGAAAGAGTAACAAAACTTACGTCTACTTAATACTTTAACAAAGACTGAATCCGGTAATCCGGGGAGTGGCAATTTCTGAATCTGACGTGCGCTGTACTCGAAACGTTCTTTGGGAGAATCATCATTAAAAATTCCAAGTACATTCCCGATAAAAGACTCCCCCGCGTGGTTGTTATCGATATCGATTCGTACTGATCCCAAGATACCGACGAAAGACAGGGAAACGATCGTCGGCGACATTGAGAACGGGTACCCAGACTCGCGTTTCGTCCTCGTTCGTTCTACCCCTCTGGCGGAGTGAACTTGGGTTAATTTTCTCAGAGTTGTCCACAGAAGTAACTGGTTTCGGACGAGTTTGACGCAAGCAAGATCGGTAATACGATTACGTTAAATGGCTGGTAAGTGGCGTGCATCCTTTACGCTCGTCGGAAACACGGTTTAAAGTGAATTCAACGATTCTCCTCCGCGTACTTTCGCGAAATTAACACGGTGCTGTATCTAGTTTTCAAGTTGCCGCCCCCGCTTGTAGCTCAGGGAAACACGTGTCATCCGATTCCCTCGGCAGTTGCTCACTCCGGAACGATTGTGTACGAAACTTTCGGTATCTTTGACCAGATTAATTTAACGTAACGTCGCGCGACGGAACGGGGCGTATTCGTTTCTAGACATTCAATTAGCTCGGATAGCGAGGTCACACTTAACGTAGAAATTTGGTAACTCGAGGTGTACGGGCCATTCGATATGCTTGTTGCGTGTCGAAGAAAACGTTGGAATACCTGGAACTCTTACCCTTACTTCGAGACCTTGGTAAACACATAGGATTATTTCTTCAAGAATGTTTGCTTTACTTTCTATCTATCCTTCCAAATATTGCGTGGTGGTCTAAACGTTTTTTAGAATACATTCAGAGGGCAAAAAGAACAGCGTAACGAGCATCCATTTGAAATTTTCATCCCTCGAATATTTCCAAAATTCAGATTCTAATTTCTGCTCGACGAGGGATGCCAAAAAGACTGCTCACCTTCCATTCGTTCGAAACTTTCATTTAGATAGGAATCGCGTCTTTACTTAGG